TATGACCTATCACCCCTCCCTTGAACCTGTACGGAAAATCCTCAAAAAATTGCAACCCATATTAGAAGAAGACCCTATTCTTAAAAAGGTCTTCCCAGAGCCACCCATCCTAGCCTTTAAACAAGCACCGAACCTCGCCAACCTCATCACCAGAAGCAAACTTCCTCAAGCCCAGAACACACCAAAAGGATCCAGACCGTGCCAGGACAAGAAATGCAAAACCTGCCAACACATCTCCACCACCCCCACAATTACTACACCCCACAACAGAGCCATCAGCATTCCCGGATCTTACAGCTGCACCTCCAGAAATGTAATATACCTCATCCAATGCACCAAATGCCCTGATGGAAGATATGTAGGAGAGACCAAACAACAATTGCACACCAGAATGAATGCACACCAGAAATCTATCAAAGACAGAAACACCCAATTACCGGTGGAGGCACATTTCTCACAGGAGGGCCACTCTCTCTCCGATCTCTCAGTCCTGATCCTCAAGGGAAACTTACACAACACTTCCCAGAGACGAGCCTATGAGCATCAACCTCCTGGATACTAGAGATCATGGACTAAACATAGACATTGGATTTTTGATACATTATAATCTGCCTGGCAACTGACTCCCCAGCCCAGCCCAGCCCAGCCCCTGGCTTCTTTACTTTTCATTCCATCCAGGAAGAGCACACACCAACTGCTGAAACTTCCTTAGCCTGACGAAGGGTTTTTGAACCCAAAAGCTTGATTAATAACTTTTCTCCAACTATTTGAGTTGGTCTAATAAAAGATATCAAATTCACCCAAGGAACCTTGTCACCCCCTTAGGAAATTCTAGATCTATCCATACTCACAGCTACTTTCCTCACAGCTACTTGCCTTCAAAAAGGAGGAGGAGGTGGTGGTAGTCTTCTTTTTTATTATAGCCAAAAGGTCACAGCACTTGCCCAAAAAGTGGGAGTTCGGGGTTCTACACCTCCTCAGCCTGATGGATCTCACCTTTCTCACTGCCCAGGAGAGTGCCCTAACTATCAGACAAGGTAGGCTTGGAAAGTAGGCCCTTTACTGTTTCTGTAGATACTGCAAAAAAGGAATACAAGATTCATAAAGACAGAGAGCAACCAATCAAGAGAGCAAAATGCCATAGTACAGCCATGAGAACACTGCTATAGGAGGGAGAAGAGCACTGGTTTCTGGTCCCTGCATCCAAAAGTTTATGAATTTTTTTTCAATGCATAAACCATCTTTAGGCACATGAGTGCTCAGCCTGTATTCCTTTGTGAATCTCATTCTAAAATCCCTTATACCTTTGCTCCTCTTTAGCCATTCTTTTATCTTATAGGAGCCCATAACCCCACCCCCATTCTTTCAGTGATGCCAGTTTTACCTTGTTGTTTTATAACACTTCCCTCAAAATTCTTGTTGTTTAGAAACCCCTCCCCTAGACTGATCTGTAAGACTCTCTCTCTCATTCAGACTTCTCAGAACCCCCTTTGCCCTTGACACCCACCAGCGAAAGAACCTTAAAACAGGGGGTAAAGAGTAATTTGGGGGCACTTCATATTTATCTAAAAGTTAGGTTGTATGTATCCATACTTTCATACCCTTTTTTCTCTCATGTATGCTGTGTAAGCTCTTTTGTTATGGACTGTCTCACCTTGTGGGCATATAGATAGTGCTTAGAATATTGTGGGCACTACTTCAGTGCAAATAAGTAATAATAAAAGTATTACATAATCTACCCATTAGTAAAGAAGCCTATTTTAAAATGTCCAAAAGTTAAAGGCAAAAATTCTTGTGGCTGCTATATTTTATTGGACCAACTGCATGATTGGATATAGGCAGGTTTTCAGGTATCACAGTACCCTTGCTCCGGCCTGTTGGTCCAATAAAAATATAATCCAACAAGAATTCTTACCTCTCATATATTTCTTCGACCATCAGGGCTAAAATATCACCTCAACGCTACCAAAAGTTAAAGGGTGTTTTTGTACTCAGACTGAAAACTTTTATGTATCTCTGGATTTCAGTGAATTGTATCTTTTCAAAATATCTCTGTTTCATTTGTTATTGGGAATAGATGGCCTGTCACATCCTAGTACACTGATTCTTACTCAAAATGCCACACTTATAGGCAAATGTCTTTTCAAGCTGAACATGTGAAAAGATATAGTTTACGGAAAATCAAGGTTAAAAAATACTTTGGCCTTATTCAACCACACGGGAAGATTTTACACATTTTAAGAGAACAACTATTAAATATTTTCTTTCCCATCCCTAACTTCAAGAACTTAGGTGGATTAAGACCTGAAATTTAAGCTAGTTCTCAAACCATATATTTGGAATTATGGTCTTGGTATGTACATTAGGGAAATATACCATCTGATATGGTATGGTATGGTAATTAGAAACAAAATTCAGCTGGTTTAAAAAGTATATTTTTAATCTTTGCGTGTACCCTGTATTTAATCTCCAATCATCTTGGGTCCAATGGACTTGGATCTTTTCATCCTAAAAAAGAGAAAGCTGAGAGGGGACGTGGTAGCAGCTTACCACTACATCAGCGGAATACATCAAGGGCTTGGTGAACAACTGTTCAACAGGGCATCCTTGGGGAAAACCAAGAGTAATGGCCACAAACTCCTGGGAGACCATTTCAGGCTTAACACTAGGAAAAACTTCTTCACAGTTAGTGTGTCCAGACTGTGGAATAAACTCCTTCCAGAGGTGGTGCAATCGCCTACCCTAGAAATCTTCAAGAGGAGACTGGACAGTCACCTCACTGGGGTCACCCGACCCCTGTTATCTTTCCTGCCTACTGCAGGGGGCTGGACACCATAATCTTGCGAGGTCCCTTCAGCCCCTAACAATTTGTGAATCTATGAGTCACTATTAAAATCTTTTAAAACTTGTGTTTTGAGAGTAGATAATATTACAGCATGGCCACATTACATGTCATGTATAAAGATTACCATATCACAATTAATTATTTGCTAAAAGAATTGTAATCTTTTTACTAAAACATTCCAAATTTTATTTGCTAACATTGAATAAACCATGGTATCTTATACAATATCAGATAAACTAATATCTGTTTAAGGACATGAATCCTAATTTGAATAAATCCTGTTCCACTGTAATGTGCTAATTTGACATAATATTAGGCAGTGAAAAAGATAACATTGTCAGTAAACAAGACAGGAAAGAAAACATAGGTGTCTTAATTTCTATTCTGTCCATAACTCAGAAGAGGGA